GTGTAGTACATAAAAAAAGTTCAAGTGATTCATCTAAGTCGAAAAAAAAAAATTCATCATAATTAAGGACTGGGTTAAGACATATCATCATTCAGTCTTCAGTCACACCCATTCTGCAGATGCATTAGCCATTCAATGAAAAACCCTGGCTAGTAAAAAACTTCTTTAAAAAAACCCTTTTCTCAAGCAATGCTGAATGCATCCTGAACATTTCCTTGCAGCTTAACTACAATAACTGTAATGACACAGGCCTGACAGCAGCTGACGTGATACACCAGCTGGAGATCTCTCTTATGCTGAAAAGTTTATAGCCTTTCTGTCAAACAAAAGGGACAATCCATAGGTGAAAATTAACTTCCCATCCACAATACCACAGATCTGAAGCTGGGTGCACCTGTACTGCACAATTATAGCACTCTAGCCAAGTAACCATTTTTCTGGCAGCTTCTGCTACAGCTTAAAGAGCAGAGAAGCAATCTGGGTCACAAAATTGTATTGAAATGTTGAGAGTAAATTACCTAGCTGCATAATGCTGCCACCATGCCATCTTCTCTCTCAAGGGAAAGTATTTTACGGTAAGTAAAGCAGTGAATCCCTCGTTTAAATACATCCCTTAACCTTCTTTAAATTAATTACATTTTAATTAAAGTCATAGGACTTTGTTTAGATAAGTTGAAAACCTCAGGTTGGCAGCCAGAATACCTTATTTATAAAAACTCAGAATTCTTGGATTCCCATATTTGGATTATGTTGCTTTTATTTATTTATTTTTCCAATTAAAAAGTTCCCACTGCTCATACATTTTTTATTCCCTCATGCTCTGTTCTATCAGGAAAAAACATAAAAGAAGCAGACAACATGTTTATTTCAGTTGGAGACTACTTCCTAGCCTGCTCCAGTTTTATAATCTATTCTCTTATGCTCTTACCAACCCCCTTCATCAAACAGCTAAAAGTATCCATCAAAACCACAGGCTGTATTCATAGTAAAAGGCACTCCAGCACATATTTCCACTGGAAAGCATTAATTTTTGCAGCAAAGTGTCTTTCTCCCTTTTACATCTGCAGACAGAGTTCAAGTAAAGGAATACCGACACTGTCTGACCAGGTGAGTACCTTTGTAGCAATATGGTTAATGAGAAATAAAACAATAAAAACATAAAGCAAGCAGCCTTCAAGCTAACTTCCCCAGATTGATTGGACACAATGAGAACAATTTGGAATTTATATTTCTTAAATAAACTGATAATAAATATATTTTGATACAGTACCTACCACCTCTTAAATCATAGGCTCCATGCTATTCCCTCACTAAACACTATTAAATGCAACATTTTTCTGTGCTGTTACTGTTGTAGGAGCAAGCACTGATAACAGTCAGGTACCACGGGCAACATCACAGACTCTACAGCTGAAACTTATCCCCAGTAAAGTGAAGACAAACACCAGCTCTTGTAGGACTGTAACAGTCTCGTGGGGCTGCAAATCTCCTGACAATGCAGGTATGTACAACAGGATCCTTTACCTCTGCTCCCCTAAAGAGGCCAAATTTGGGAAGGTGCATGGCAGAGTTTATTTCACTATATACTAACCCTTCAGTGCCATAGGTTAAGGACCCTCTGACAATGACTCAGTTGCTCGAGCTTACCCTAACCACTCGCCAGAAAGCCGCTCACAACCCCCTTTTCCCTTTGAGTAGGGGAGCACGGACCCTACACATAACCAGTATTTTGAAACAAGATTTCTTCACTACTACTGGACTCAGCATTGGAGACGGAAGGAAATTAATAACAGCATACTTAATTCCCATGGTACTTCCAGCACCTATTTTACTTGTGCATCAGCTGTACATTCAGAATTAATATAATCTTTTCATTTTTCTAAGCTTTCTGAACCTTACCAGAACATTAAAAGCTTATTATGCCAGTTGTCTGAGAGGTATCCCTGGCTAGAGGTTACCTCCCAGGGCCAGCACAAAGTCTCTCCAAGTCAGCGAGAAGAGTCCTGTGACATTCAACAGGTTTTCAGTCTGGACTCTAATGTGTCTTCCTGTGTTAGCAGCTCTGAGCTCTTGCATCAAACTCAGCTACACTTCTTACTCCTTGTTCTTCAAGTGGCACCAAAGGAGCAAGTAAGATGCAGCAGGAGCCGATTTCAAAAGGACGCGTACTTGAGCAAATACACCTCCTTTGATACGTGTACCTCCCCCACCATATTACACCTCATTAGAACAGGGGAAATTACACCATTTTAAAGATGACTCTTAAAAGCACTAAAGGCTTTCACCAGTTCTCAAGTACGTTTCCCTAACCTATCCAGGTCTGAAAAACAAAGTCAGCTTTGAACTGGATCCAAAAGACAATCAAGTACCAAATGTCAAAGCAATTTTACAAATCAGAGCAACGCGGGTGATGAGGCTGGGAAGAATAAAAGTAAATTTGACTATCTGTTTACAAATTAAAAGTTTCACCTCCAATGCTTTCTGACCTACTGCAGTTTTTGGAGGCCAGAGACTAGCTTTAGGTATACATACAAATCCTGTAGCAAAATTGGGTTTTGGATGGATTTTTTTCCCAATGCAACCCCCTTTAAGAAATCCAGTAGGTTTTATTTCTTACAGGGGAGAGAACAATATGTAAAAAAACACAGAACTTCTTTAACTAGATAAGTAGACTTGAAGCTAAATTCTTGTTCTGATGACATCGAATCTCTGCAGGAGATAGGACAGGTGACTTTACTGACTACAATCATATTCTCTTTCCCCGTGACTTACTTGTTCAATTAAGTCTGCAAAAGTCTCACTTCTCATTAGGCACCCTGAACTCTGCTGAGAGCCAGTGACACCACAGTAGCTTAAAATGGTGACATTTTCATGTAAAGTCTACAGCTCTTAACACTGGATTCTGTGCATACTTTCAGCTGCAACTGTCCTAAAACTAACATGAGGAAGGCTTAGGATTTTCAGTAGCGCTCAGAAGTACCCCTCATTGGCTTGCTCTTCATTTTCACATCTTTTGACATTTATTTTGTTGTGTCATCACAAAATGCTGGTGCAAAGACAAACAAGATGTTGACTCCTCTTCTGAGTGCAAATATGTAAGGGGTTAAGATGTAATAAAGGAAATTATAACATCAACACTCATAGAATTCTCTAATTAACTGAACAGAGATGCTACAGCTGAATCAGGAACTTAAAGACTTCCTTTTTTTTTTTTCTCCCCATTTAGACTTCTACTATGATCTCCCCTCAAGTCATGATTTCAAAACTATTCCCATTGTTTTTCCATAGGAGTTGTCATAAACTACCACAAAAGCACAGACAAATGGAGGCGCTTAGGTATGGATTTATGCTGGGAGCAACCTTGAGATGTGCCACCTTAAGGGACACTCTTAGATAGATCATCCCCATTCAGGGCTACCTGACAGAGCCAGCTATACACACAGATCACCTTACACCACAGCACAACTCATTCTGTAATTGTATTTGTCTATTGCTGCCTGTTGCTGTAAAGAAATCCAGGTCACAACCATGACTCTGCAAAGCTCTCTTCTCCCTGGATAAACTTCTGCACAAGGCAGGCTTTTTGTATTGTCTTCCCTTCACATTGTGTGCAAGAAGGCAGCCAGCAGAACAATGCACTAAAAAGCATCTTCCTAAAACACATTCGCTGTTCAAAAAAAAAAAAAAACATAGGAGATAATGAAGAACCTGTCCCAAAACCACTATGTCAATAAACAAACAAAAAAAGTATACTGCTATAAGCAAAGAAATAACAGAAACAAATAATGGTAAGAAAAATAAATCAGATGACTGAAACAAAAATGATCTTTACAAATTGTAGATTTCATGCCTCAATGAAATTAAAATTGCTCTAAGCATTTATTTGCTTCCAAGGTCCAAACAAAAGGATTCAATAAATAACCTTCCTTCAGATTAGATTTTTACTGTCAGCAGTTAATGCAGTTGCAGAAAATGGTTATAACCTTCTTCTCAAAACAGTATCTCATAATTACTTTGTCAAAATTTAAACTTTTTTCAAATGTTCCAATAAGTGCATCTTCCTATAATACTCACAGAACTTTATTCTGCCCGCCTGAATAAAATGAAGACTTTGGAAAAAAATATCTGCTACTATCACCCTATACATTTAAGTGCCACAATTCCAAAATGCATATGGTGATCCTCTCACTGGAAGCAAATTATATTGTCCTATGAATTTCGTTGCAAGAAGACATGAAAGTAAAGGTTCATTTTCCTCATTCCTAAAGTGTATTTTGAAGGTCCCAATTTCAAGTTTTCTGAGTTTCCTCATCAACCACAAAGTTAGCAACAGCCAAAGTCTTCAGTACATTGTGAGATCTAGTCCCAGGGGAAGAGAGATTCTAGGGAAGAGAAATTCTACGTTTGCTGCTTTTTATTCTTTGAAAGCCTGACAATCTGCCATCTTGCAGTCTTCACAACTTTTAAGGGAAAAAAAAGTGCAATGACAGACAGAATACCCTTCAGAAAATAAAAAGCACCAGTTCTAGACATACAAAAAGAAGCTTCTAGGTTTCTCAGAAGTTTCCAAGTGGGGCAGCAGGTGGAAAAGTCACTAAAAAGTGCATTGCTTGATTATGTAAAATAAAATTAAAATGCTTCTGACACATCTATCAAGTTTTCAGGTATGCTGAGTGAAGCAGTTCACAACAGAACAGACTGCACACCAATCTATCACACTTAAATGCAATCACAGTCAAACATAACATCAGCTAGCACCTAAACCACAGAGATGCTTTTAATGCTCCCCAGTCAGCAATCAACCTTTTCCACATTTGTTCATAATCACAATGAATAGTTTTATTTTAATGCTTTGTTTTCCTTTTCTTATCCCATGGCAGTTTACCATGCTTTTTAAATTAGGTATTTTTTAAAAAAATTCTCCTCTTCCAATTTTATTATTGCATGTAAGTAGAGGGCATTTTTTTAAAGAAATATAAATTATGAACATATTTTCTTACCTGTTGCAGTCCACATGGAGCAGAAGGTGGGACGCACTAAGTGACACAGCAATCTTATGCCACTGTCCATCTGCCAGACGGTACGGGAACACCTCTGTTCTTGACTTCCCATTAAACCTGTAGTGATATCTAATCTCATCCCGCAGGCCACTGCTCTCCAGTTCAAAATAGCTGTATTTAAAACATGAAGAAGAATCAGTTCCAATATTTTGTTTATTCATTGCTTCTGTCATTTTCTTAATTCATAGACTTCTTTAAGCAAACACCACATGGAAGGTCACAATCTAAAGAGGTTACTCAGCATGAATTAGCTAAGAGTTCATTTTTTAAAAGAGTTAGAGAGGCAAGACTATATATCCAGTGCATTACAAAAACAGCAATACCAATCATGGGAAAACAGCTCACATTCAAAACACCATTTGATAATCCTGGAAACTGAAGTCTTCTTTTTACACATAGAAAAGTTTCAACTACAAGAAAATGATCCTTATTCTTTTCACCAAAATGTTTCATATGAATGCAAGTTTTGTAGCAAATGCAAAAATAAAGAACTGTACATATTATTACCAAAGAACAAACAAAAAGCCACAAAGGCAAGAAAACTTTAAATTTAATAATTTAATTTTAAATCTTTAAATTTGTATTTACTATTTGCAAATCCACTTTTTAAAAAACTGTTTACTTTTAGGACTCCCCTACATGCAATTGTGCTTAACTCATTTTCTGACTTGTATTGTTACAGCTGTAATTGTTCAGCTTTATAAGGGATCTAGCTCCTGGCTAGATTAGGTGTCTCAACACGTGGCATAAAGAAACAATCAAAACCTTTGGAGAGTTGTCACCAGAGAACAGTCATGGGATAGCTACCAAAGAACAGCTACTAACCGGCTTCATGCCAGGGGGGAGAGCCAGCTCTTTTTGTAGGGTGAATTCAGCCTTTGTAGGTGGTAGGACATTGAAGTGTAAATAGTGGAGCCTTCTCTTGGACCCCAGATAACAGAGAATTTACAGCATATCAAATCAAGGCGCTCTTTTTCCTGCTAAAATGAAGCCCTGGACATAGAAAGGAGGAGATGCAGACCTCCTTTTATAGTAGCAATAACTCTACAACTAAGTGCAGATGTTAGGTTGTCCAGCTAGTCCCTAACCATGTCTACCTCCACAGCATCATGTTTTTCCCTACTGAACAACAGCAATTTAACATGGCAGTTGAAAGACAGGTGCTAGTTTGGGGTTAAAAAAAAATAGTTACAGTTATGAAATCCACTTCCAAAAAATAAATGCAACATGAAAAATATAAGTATCCAGGTGCCAATTTTCATTTTCACACAATCCTTTTATGCTGCTGGACTGTACACAGACCTTAATACCAGTGTGCGCAAGCGTTACACGAGATGTGTGCACTTCATCAAGAATAGCTCTTACCAGTGAATTGGAGGCTTTTTAGAACATAAAAACTGGAAAACAGAGTTCTTTAATAATTTACTTATGAGATAAAATGCTAGCTGGGAGTATGTGCAAAAGATCACAACAGACTGGGAAGGGAAACACCAAGACAATAAATCTTGACCAAGAGAGACACTGAAACCCTCCTCCATCCTGCCAATACCTTGCCATTACATTTTTCATGTGACATACGAGCGTTATGAGGTCACACCAATCAAAGTAAATGGCAAAGTAAAAACAGTCACAGGCAGAAAAAAGGCAAAACCAAAACTGGATGAAAACACAGCAAGCATATGTACAAATAAAACACATACAAAAATAAGAAAGGCTCGTGGTGTGAAGGAACTGGCCTGTTTCATGCATATAATGGCACAAGGAGGGCAGAGAAACAGGAGTTTTCTAAACAGAAAAGAACAAATTTGATTAACTGCTACCACCAGCACTCCCCATTAAAATACCTAAATTACACTCACAAGAAAACTGAAGATTTTTTTTTTTAGGGTTTTTTTTCAAATGCTCAATAAGAGCACAGTCAATATACAGAACATACTGCTGCTGGCGTTTTCAAGCCAGGAAAGCACTAGGACAAGTACTGCCAGTGAAGTCATACTTACAAAGTTAAACGTTTCATAATTGCCATCTGCTGTCAAAGCACAAAAGGAAGTCATTAAAGAGACTTTCTTTCTCTCTTGTTCAGATAAACAGCAGTGAGGCAGAAAACTTCAAAAAAAATGAGGGAGAGCTACATAACATTCTAGTAACTCTCAGACACAAAGTATTTATATAAGTATATATATATACATATTTACATGGTTGATCACAGAAGCTTCGGGCCTGAGAGCAAGACAAGCTCCTGTTGCAGGAAGCACATCGCTCCCTACAGTCCTCCTTCATCATCTCTTACAGCCACAGAGCTAATCGCTTACTACAGAATGTTTTGTTTGTTAATAAAAGGCAACAGTCCAGCCCTAGAAAGGTCAGTCAGGTACCGTACTTAATCACATCCATGCTCTATTATTTGAACAGCATAAGGAATTGCAAAGCGACATAGATCCTCATCTGACAAGCTTTAGTGCCAATAGTTACTTCAGGACTGAAAACAGCTTGTTGCTTATGCACTGAGTTTGCTGTCCATCTCCTGCCTAATTTATATAATACAGAAGTGTCTAGTTAAAATTCTCTGTAATAGCCAGTGCTAACATTTTTATTTATGTACACCTACTGCACTGCAAAGTGCCACAGGACTGTATAAAACACCACATCTTACCTCTTCAGTGACGGAAAAGGATGACAGCAGCCAAATTCTGCACCTATGTTTCACCACCCTTCAACCAGTGCAAATCAGAAGCATTTACATTCAGACAATCAGTAAACAACAGTCAACAAAATCACAACAGCAGAAACTGCCTGGATTAGCCCAACACATATCTATTTCAAGTATTTAAAACATGCAAGACAAGGTAACCAACGCCCTTGCATTATCGTTTTTTTCTGAAGATGCACAAATTCACCTTGAGATCTTGACTACACACACACACCCCTATGTTCACAATTCAGCAGATGTAGTTGTCTTTTCTCTATTGGAACATAATTCATGTGCAAATAGCTTTCTCAACAGCAAACATCATCTTTTCCTTCCTCCTCCTGGAGGAAAGCATCTTCAAAAGCCATGACATAAAGGCTGTTCACTCCCAGAAATAAATGTGCTTGCTCTGTGTTCAAGTTGTAATCTGCAAATTGTGGAATGGAAGACAAATGAGTGGAAAAACATAAGCTTAGGGAAGAAATTATCAACTTGTAAGAAAATAATTGGTAAAACCAAAGAAAACAGATTTTTTTTTAATATCTGTCTCATCTTTGACTTGAAATGCCATTGCTCAAGGGTTTATCTACTATAAACCAACAGGTAAAAAATGGAGGGAAATTAATGGAAGCTACCATACAAGAAGCAAGAAAATTAACTAATCTCTAACAGGCGATTTGTAGGTACTTCCCAGTGTTTTGCAAGGAAAAAGACAACACAGGATCAGAACAAGTCAGGGTTCCTGAAAGGATAACAGCATCTGGGGCCACCTGAAAAAATGTATCATCATGTAGGCAAGTGTGCACTTCCATGTTGCCATGAGATCCACATCAAAAGCCCCAGGGAGATCCCTGAGTGTTACAAATAGTTCTGCTTCTGCATCACATCTGCATGAAACCTGTGTGTCAGCTTGCCGCTTGAGTTAGCCCCCTGCTACCCTCCTCAAGACCTTTTTCAACAGAGAGAGATGTGAGGCAGTACTCGTCAACTTGTTAGCACCAAGTACTGGTTTCTTGTTTTATTTATTATTCCTCAATGAGGATTTATTTTTTTATCTTTTTTAAACAGGCATGATCAAAGGTAACGTGCATTTTGAGAGATGACATTCTCAGAATACGTGTATTAAGGGAGGTTATTGCTTATGAAACACCAGTAAAATATGGCCTTGGCTGAATTTTCCCACTACTAGAATTTCCATATTTGCTAAGGAAGTAAACTGTTGCTGGCTTCTTTTATACAATTATAGAATTCAACTTTTTTTTATAGGTCTGTCCACAGTCTCTCATCCAAATCCCAATACGTAAGAGAAAAACACGTTAAATTCAGATTAATTTTATGCACATCAAAAAAGTCGGGATATTTTAAGCTGATGCAATGTGCTTTACAGGAGAATATTATTCCACAATCAACTCAAGATGCTTTACAACTCTGACAACTTTTTCAACCCCTATGTACCTCACACACAAATATAGTTATGAGAGGATAACGCTGACTCAGTGATGTTTAACACTTGCCTTTTTTTTTTTCTTAGTCACAACCATAGTGAATATTTAACTGTGCATTTGACAGCTCATTTTACTTCCAGATCAGAAGGAAAAGGTGTCTAAACGTATACTGTAGGTTGGAAACAGCTGCTGTGGATGTAATGACAAAAAAAAAAATTGGAAAACTCATTATCAACGTTAAGTAAGAGCATGTAAGACACCTGAAGCAGAAAAAGCAAAGTACTTCTACAACGTGAGTTGGCTTAATCCACCATCTGCATTAAAGAAACATATTCATCTATTCATCTTATCAACCACAGCAGTGGTCTTAACCAGTGACAAACACCGCCGTATTTCATTCAAAGATTTTTCTGCTGTAGGCTGTGCATGTGGCCAAAGGAGGGAGGGGTCACAGACTACAAATAAGACATGACCCTAAGAGGAGCTCTAGGATATATGTCCTTCTGAATATCCCTAGTGTATACAGTACTTTTTGTTCTGATCTTTACAATGCTAACACCTATCACGAGACACTAAAGTATCCCACAATGAAGACAGGGCACCATCTGGTAGGCACAATACTCCAATAAGAGCTCTGAGAACTAAAGCAAAACTACTTTTTGCATTCAGTTCTGTAAATCTTCCCCTTTATCACATTGAAACATAAATAAAGCAGAGTTATTCTGACTTTACAACCTCCATCATCCCCGATGCAGTGCCAAATGAAGCCCCACAGCCTCTTTCAAGGAGCAGCACCAGCATTTATAGCAGATGCTCTTAAAGCTACTGAACAGATGTCCCAGGGCAAGGCAGCAGGCACAGATGGCATCCCTGTGAATATGTACAAACTTGGGGTTGCCAGCTAGTCAAAACACTTGTGCATCTGCTTAACATCGTGTGGGAGAAGGTCACAAAACCACAGGAGTTCAAGGATGGAA